GTGCGGCCGCCGCTTCAGCCAGAAGCCCAACCTGACGCGGCACCGGCGCAACCACACGGGCGAGCGGCCCTACCTGTGCGCCGCGTGCGGCCGCGGCTTCAGCCAGAAGCAGCACCTGCTCAAGCACCAGCGCGTGCACCGGGGGGCCATGGCGCCCGCCCCCAGCGCCAAGGACCAGGCGCTTTAGTGCGCCTCGGACCCAAGCGGACTCGTGGGGGCGGGAGGGGAGGTCTGTGGGGGTGCGCGTGGCCAGGAATGGTGGCTCCTACGACCCCAGGGGGTAAACCCCCGTCGAAAGGCGATTTCCTCCAGGCTCCGAAGGCTAGAGAACAGAATTCCAGTAGCATCCCAAAGGGGGCAGGTAGAGGTCCCAGTGTGGGCTCAGGGAGGACGTGAGACGAAGCATTCCTCACTCAGGAGGCCGGATGTGTCCGTCTGTCCCTCGGAGGTGGGAGGGGAGGTGGGGAATGGCCCGGGGCTGGACTGATTGTCCCATGCAGGCTGCCGGACGGCCAGAGGCCAGTCTAGTGCGGGCAGTTTTAACAGACGCGCTGGTATAGCAAGGACAGAAGCCAAGCAGTCGCGGCTGAGGAGGGTCAAGCACAGCCCCAATGTCAAGGGCAGTGCCTGGCACTTAATGGCCATTCAGTGCATATGTTTGGAAGGACTGAACGGCTCTGCGGTCCTTCTCAACTCTGAGTGCCCCAAAGCCCAGGGTGCTGCCACAGCGGGCTGGACGTTGGGACTGGTGTGGGTGTGGTGGCCGGACTGGCACGACAGGGGTGGGTGGCAGCTGAGGTTCAGTAGCTTGGGGAGGGGCCCACAGCAGGAAAAGAAGCCCTCGTGTGGCGCTCCCAGTGGCCGTCACTGACTTGGATCTTTCTCAATGTCAGTGTTGCAGAAGAGAAAAACATGAAGGATGGACTGTCTCACGTGGTCTCACTGTCCTTTGTAAGCTGCCCTTTCGGAACTCTAGGTCTGTGTGTGCTCTGAGGCATCCATTTGCCCCCAGGACCGGGACAGGGAGCTCGGCCTTGAGCGTAGCAGCTCCCCATGCCTGGTTCTGGCTGGGGGTGGGGGGGCAGTACTCTCCTGCCCTCTCCAAGCCATTTGGTATCTTCCCACACGCCCTCCTCTACTTCTGGTCCCCAGGGGTCCCTTCCAAAACAAGGATGCGGGGCTGCAGGCTGGGCCTCTGGAGGGGAGGGTGGGTGTTGGGGCGCTAGGGCTGGAGAGCTGGGAGGTGGGAGGAAAAAGAGGGGACCCTAGCATTCTTTAGGAGGACGGACCGTGCCTGCCTGTGTCCCAGGGGCCCGCCGGTTTCTCTGAACTCGAGGAACTGCTACCCGCTTTCCAGGGGCTGCCGGATTTAGCCCGGCTTCCGGCCACCACGTTGTCAGGTCCTGTTGAATATCCCCTCACCCGGCAGGAGCTCTGATTATTGTAGCATCATGGGAAGACCTGTGGAGGCGACGGGGTTTACTTGGGTTAACGGGGGCACCAGTAACGGTCAGCGCTCAGCCGGGCTGCCCAACTGGTCCAGGTCTTCCATTGTGAACGCTGCTGTGTGGAATCTCCCCCTGGGCGAGCTGGGCCCGGTTGTTGGCACGGATGTGAGAGTTGGGCTCTCAGCCCAGCAGGGTTCTTCTAGGCGCTAGGCGCTGCCCTACCTCCCTTGTAATGCCTGCCCCCTCCTGCAATTCCTGTCCCAGGCTGCCCTGCTCAGGGAGGCCAAGGGCCCGGGATCTCAGCAACACCTACTTGAAACACGGGGAAAGTTCGGGAGTCATCTGCTTCTTCCACTTTGCCACTCAGAAAATCCTGAGGCCAACTCCAGCAAAGCCCACCTCCTCCAGGAAGGCGTCCCGGAGTACCGTTCCTGCATTAGAAGGCTGCTGTCAGGAAGGACAGCAGCCTGTGAGACCCTGGAGCCCTGTCAAATCAGGTGCCTGAGGGGCAGTGCAGGCAGACGGTGAAGGCCTCAGTCAGATGGGAGTTTCTGTACAATAGAACGGGCCGTTGTCCACAAAGGCCTGTGTTTGATGGCCAAGTCAATCAAACAGCTGTGTTGCTAGGGGTTAACGAGGTCTAATTGCAGCTTTCTTCCCCGTGCACATTCATGAGGCTGTCCGTTCACTAACCCGAAGTGACCGGTCCTCACAAGTGAGTGCTTTGGGTCACAAGGGGGACAGGGTGCCATTAGAGCAGAGAGGTACTGCGATGCTTGCCCCATGGACCAGGTCAGGGGAGGGCAAACATCGGTTCACTAAACAAGCCTACTGTGTGCCAGGCGCTGTGCCAAACTGGAGTGATGCTGTGGGCCACCACAACAGAGTGCCACGGGCCGGGGGCTGAAACAACGGACGTGTATTTGCTCACGGTCTGGAGGCTGGGAGTCCAAGATCAAGGGGCTGGCAGATTTAGTTCCTGGTGAGGGCCCGCTTCCTGGCTTGTAGACAACCACCTTCTCTCTGTGTCCTCACACGGTGGGGACAGGGGTGCGTCTCTTCCTTTTCTCACAAGGACACTAATCTCGTCAGGAAGACCCCAGTCTCACAACCTCACTGAAACCCAACTGCCTCCCAAAGGACCCGTCTCTGAATGCCATCACCTGGGGGGCGGGTCAGGGCTTCGATATGTGAATTTGGAGGGGGACGCAATTCAGCCAATAGCAGTCAGGGCCCCTCTCCTTGAGGAGTTCATGAACCTTCGTGGAAAATCACTGATACACATGTAGCTCAGAACAATCTGTACGGCCAGCTCTTGAAGAGCAGCCCCCAGCCCCCTTACTAAAGCTTCCTTGTTCATCGTGTCACTTAGCCTCGCTGTGGGTCGGTGACCGTGGCAGGGCAGTGATCCGGGAAAGCGGGATGTTGCAGAGGGACTTGTCCGCCAGGTCGCGTTTCAAGTTACGAACTAAGGGCAGGTGCCAGGCCTCCTGTTAGCCAAGCCCCTTCCACTGTCCCGACCCCAGGCTTCTCCCAGGGTGGCCTGGATCGTCAATTTCCATATTCATCCCCGCTCATTTTGGAAGAATAAAACTAGGCCAGGGAATACTCAGGAAACGTCATGTCATAAAATCAGACAAGGAAGGAGGTCAGGTCTATCCTAGTGGCTTACACTCCCGAATACTCTAGAGCATGCGGAGAGAAAAGAGTTCCACGGGGGAACAGAAGACAACCACCAGCCAGTCAGGATCTTAAAAGACTTCTGTCCACATCCAGGTAAGTGCAGGTCTGCGGCAGGGACCCCGCAGTCAAGCTTCCAACGGGCCAGATGGGCTTGGTGGAGCTGGGGTTTCTGGAAGTGCCCGCATCATCCTCGTGTTAGAAGCAGGCTGGGAGCTAAGAATAATGACCCCGGAGCTTGGAAAATGGTGTTTCTTTGGCAAGCAACATAAGCTCCCAGTCAGGAGTCAGCCGGCAGGGGGGCAGCCTCCTCAGGAGAGTTTGGCTTCCTGCTGCCCAGCCCCAGGGAGTTGCCCCAGGGAGAATAGGCTGGAAACCCTCTTAGCAGGTGCACCCACAGGGAGGCCGCGGGACCAGCAGGGACTTGGTAGCTCCTGGTGGGTGTGGGGGATGCTTCTGAGACCTTTTCCTTTTATCAAGTCGTCTGGCAAAACAAACAAAAAAATGACCTTTTGGCAAGAGGAGGAGTGTTGCGGCTGGAAACAGTGTGTTCTCACATGGCAGTGTTCTTACTGGATCGTGGCAGAGAAGAGACAGAAACGAATGGTATCCTAGAGCTTGTCTTTTGGGTTCAAAAGACAGTGGTGTCTCCTAGGTTACTCAGATCTGGAAGGAAGGGTGCGCTATCCGGTAGAACTTCCTGTGATGATGAAAACATGCCATAGCTGTGCTGTCCAATACCCTAGCCACCAGCCACCTGTGGCTACTGGCTACTTAAAATGTGGCTTGTGAGGCTGAGAAGCAGAATTTAAAATGTTGTTTTATTTTAATTGATTTAAATGGCCACACGTGGCTGTTGCACAGTACAGTCCTAGGAGTAATGCTCCTCCCGAGAAGGGGTAGAAATGTTGTGTCTCTCTCCCTGCCACCGCGTAAATCTAGAAAGAGCTTTCCTTTGTTGTTGGGAGTAGTGGACAGAGTCAGAGAGTTCTGGGGCGGACTTCTGCCTTTCCCACGTATGCTATGGGACCCCGTGCAAATAGCCTGTGGGAGAGCATATAGTATAGTGCCTGGCACACAGCACGCGCTCAATAAATAGCAGCTCCAGTCGTCACGTTGATAAACTCCATGTGTGGCTACCTGCACAGCATTTGTACAAGTGGACGTTTATTGTGGAAAGAGAAGAATGGGCTTTTCCCCAGAGCGCCATCCCGTAAGGAGGGAGTTGCCACCTGTGTTAAGTAGGCCAGCTGCAAGTTTAAGGGCTTGGCTGAGTTGATCATAGGTCACATCTTGGGTTTTAGTGTCAAGGAAAGAGAAACTTTGGGTGCAGGTGACACTGCGCACCCACAGCCCCACATCTCCGAACGGGGGTCGGCGGGGTCTCCCAGCCCCCAATGCTGGGGCCGTAGCCTTCCCTGCAACCCCGCCCCCCCCCCAATTCCTTACAAGACATCAGCACACTGGCTAGCTGGAGGGGGGGGGCATCTCTTCTCTCCACGCTCCCAGATGGAGCTTGCAGAACTACATTCATTCATTCAACAGAGATTGACTGAGGAGCTATTATATGCTGGGCGCTTGGGATGCAGAGATGCCAAAAACATGGTCCCTGCCCTTTGAGGCTCACAGCCCGGTGGGAACAAAAGGTGTGCTAAATCCCAACTGGAAGTCAGCACAAGGTGCTTTGGAAGGGGATGTTAGTGACCGCTGTCCAATTTGGGGGAGATGGGAGGAGCTAGTGAGGGGGGAAGTGGTTGCCCGGCTGAGCAGGAAAGCCCTGGGGACAGAGCCCAGAGCAGGAGAGCTGGAGGAAGTCCCCTCGGGTACTGCAGGAGCAAGCAGGGGGGTGATTGTCCACCTAGTAAGCCCCGGGCGAGTGGGAGGGCCCTGGGCAGGGCTCTACTCACAGCGGGGGGCCACAAGCCTGCGGGACACTTTGGCTGTGAGCAGCCTAGGCTTTTGTTAGGGTCCAGTGTCCGGCTGTCACAAGAGCCTGGTGGAGCCGCGGTGATTGCCGTGCCGGCCACTAGCCCTGCCTGTGTAAAGAGGCATGGCTTCCTCTGCAAAATGTCTCCACATCTCCTTTCTATTGTGTTCGTCGCAGCACATGAGAATGGTGAGGGAGGGGTGTCTGTTGTGGGGGGGGGG